TACCTGCTGTCGCCGAGACCGCCCGCACGCGGACGAGACACGAGACGAGACGAGACGAGACGAGGCAACTTTGCCAACTTTTACAATGCCATTACCGACGTAGGCTTTTATATTCGTATATAGCTTTTGTCATTACCACTCCTACACGCCCGAGGAGGAGTCTAGACGATATATATACTTCCTAGAGCTCCTATAGAAAGAACTATAAGAACTGTATCTATAGTATAGAGTTCCTATAGTAAGGTTCTATTATAGGAACCCCAATACTTGAGAGAATGTATAACCGCGATATATTATAGGTACTCTGCTCCGAAGTCGGCGATTGTTCTCTCTGCTGCAATGTTGTCGCTCCTTTCCCCAGTTTACAATAAGACGGGGGACCGACTGACAACCTGTCTCGGTTGACTCGCACTTCCTTTTCACATTGCGGGCTTACGCGCGTTTGTTCTCGCGATAAATCATTGAACGCTCCGGTGACTCTCCGGGGTTAGGGTTACCGCTTTGTCTGATCGTTTACCAACGTTTCGCTTCGCGAAACAAACCGTTAAAAGGAAGATCATTAAAACTGTCTGTACCCCGCTTGTCGTTTTCAGTGTCGGGATAAAAAGAATTATGAGAGAACGGAAACGTCGCTTGGCGTGCATCAGCTGACCATTCGTTTCACGCCACTTATAGACCCAATGGTTTTGGCATCGCCAGCTGGTCTTGACAAGCGAGTCGGGTGTCATTGATTCTCACGCTAATTGTACACGCAAATGTACGGGAACAAAGATTCAAAGGGACGTTATTCCGTTAAAAGAGGCAGGACATTTTATAGCTCGTATACGTTTTTGTCGACGCGCTGCTTCCGCGCGTCGCACGCGATGACAATTATAGACGAAGAAAACGAGAAAAATTTGTAATATTATCTCATCACGATAAGACGTTGACCATGAAATACGATTGATTGATGTGACGGGAGAATAATTGTCAATCTACTACTCTTTACGCGTATCACTGATGATTTTTTTTTCACTCAGGTCACTTGCTTCCGCGGTAATCGATGAACTCGGTAGATGATAAAGGTATTTCGTGGACGCGAATCCATCGTCCTGATATGGAATCGAGATATGGAAACTATCGTCGACATTCGTCGAGTCGCGACGCGACGCGAGTTGAGATTTAAGGTTTAATTAACTGGAATCTGGAGCTATATAATGACGGACGGTTTCGGCGAGCGATAATCAAAGATGGTTCGCAGGTTGCCTCCGCAAAAAACATGAAAATTATCATAAAGGGCCCCGCGGGTTTCTCGGAGAAGCAACGCGTGTAATTTGGAGCAATTTGGCAATTGCATATAATTGATGAGGATGCCTTTTACTTGCCGATAGGGCCGCTCTCGCGTCGCGTCCGCATATCCGAGTTAAGTAGGGCTAATCACCGGGTTGCCGAGACTCGGGGGAGCATCAAGAGCCTGTCTTCTAGCGCCGAAACGCCCGGGATCGTGTATATACTTGCGCCGAGACCGTATATTCGGGACCTTAGATACACGTACCTGGCTCCCCCCCCCTCCCCTGTCCAACGGAATGGCAGGGCCCCCGGAGTGAGGCCCTCCGCCTACTTCCCAGAACAAGGACCCCGGCACTCCATTGTTCTTGCTAATTGCCACCCCACCGCTCGACGGCGTTCACCCGCTTCCCGAATCGTCTCGAGTCCGCAGCTCCCTTCCTCATAATGATTGAATAGAGCCCGGCTCGATAGTTACAAGTCCCAACGCAAATACCACCTTCGATACTGTACCTTTGTGAAACGAAAATTAGCCGAGCGGGCAGGATCGTGTCCCACGCCCCTCGTCCCTTGCCCTGAAGGAAGATTCGTTCATCGCATAGCGAAACTATTTTTAAGTCGTTTCTCTTTCAAACGGACGCATTTAGGCGATTACTCTCGAAATAATCTTCGTGCAGGTATTTGTTTATATATGTATATGTGTTATTTGTGGTAGACGACAAAAGCATTCCTTTTACGTGGGATTATGCGAGTCTTTTAGCTCTAAGCTGACGATATACTTGTTTCATCTTGCTTCAGGTATAATGATGAAAGAAACTCGGTCACAGGCCTTTTTAGGGTCGTCGACCAAGGGACTCGGTTCCTTCCAAATATAATTCGGCGTTGCGAAAAATTCATATATCCTGAGATTTTTCCAAAACCTCGATGAAATTATCGAGTGAATCATACGATATTCTAGGGAGCGAGTGCCATCGAGATTCGAAGGCGCGCGTCACTCTCGACGAGAGTTTCTCACGAATCGCTGGGCGAGCTTCTTCTCGCAGACGAACAGACCGGTCCTCTTCGGCCTCTTCATCATCAGTGCTCTTTCGACTTTCAGCCACTCCTTTCGTCTTTCGCAAACCTTTCCACGATGATGAACTGGCCGCCCCTTTTTCTTTTCGCATAACTCCGCGAGTTTGTACCCAGCTCTTCCGCTCGTAACTATCGAACAGGTGTCTCGCTGCCGTATATACTATTTTATCAGAATCATTCGATCTCTATTTATTCTTCGATAATCGCAGCTTTAATATTTCTACTGATTTATTTCATTTGTTGAGTCTTTATAATAATATATATGTTTACACACATACTGCTTACGATTCGATTCATTGCGAATACACGAATGTCTACGATAATCCGTCTTTTTAGTCGTGATGAAATAACTTGAAAATACGCTACAGCATTTAACTCGGCAATTCTTTCGTTATTCTTGCGAAACAAAGACGCGATTTGTTCGCGCTCTCACGCTAATTACCGTTACGCGGACCGCGCTCGGTAGCGCTAATTAGAAAAGCGCGTTTGCTAATGCATTTGGTTCAATAGAGAGAATTTGCAGTGTTCTTATGCAAGGTAACGTTGCGCAATGTTCTGTTACTTAGGTATATTTGAAGAGGCTCGTTAGCTTGATCGTTGCGCGGCATAGCGGACACTGGTCGGCGCTACCCGACACTGATATACGCTTCATGATATATGTACATCCTATACATGTCGCGTACATATTGGGTCATCACTCTCCTAATTGTACTATATACATGTATATATACAAACGACGCTCGTTTCAAAAATCAAGCCTGTAGTTGTGTTTCTTCTCGTGTGAAAGAGTCCTCTCGGAGTCTCACTCTCGAATATCGCGATTTTTATGATTTTATCTTTCGAACGATCTCTATCTTTCGTTAGATTTCAACACGATATAGTATTATCGAGTACTCGTCGATATTTTTCGAGAGATGGTCATATCATCTCGCCATCTCACAGCAATTATACTCACGAGTAATTATATGAGAGACAATTAATGGGGAAAAATGTATTTCTGGAATAAAGCCAATTTCTTTTTGTTAATCAAGTAGCGCTAAAATCAGCGTGTATAATGTACTTCATTCGTCGAAATTAAATTGGAACGTCGTAACTGCGATCGAAAAAAATTGATGAAATGTCCGATATTCATAATCGTCGGTCTCGCCGGTAGAATCCAATACGGAATATACACTCTAATATCGAAGGAACGAAAAAAGAAATGCAGGGCCGAAGGGAAAGAGGATAAGTCGGCCGCGATATGCCGGGCTGGACCGGGCCGGGGAATAATTAATATACCGTAGACGCATAACGAACGACTCCGCGATGCAGTCTGTTTGTTTTCGGATGGCTCTTCGCCTCTTCCCCGGCCTCAGGGGCTTGTCGGTCGTATCTCTCTTCAGTCGGGCTTCTCGACCTCCCGCTGCTTCCCTCCCTTTTTCCTTTTTATTTTAAACGCGCATATGGGACTGTGTGCCCTTCGACGGTCTCTTTGAATTTTTCTTTTGGGAGGCTACCGTTCTTTATTTCGATTCAATCGCACGTTTTAACAAATACATTTGTATTTCAAGTATTCGATATACCTAAATATACAAACACATATATCATGTAGAAAGAATTTTACCAAAGTGATTGAGTTTAACAACGAAAATTCGACATTTTTCTCAACTTTAAAATGTGAAATCGAAAGAGAAATATTCCGTACCGTTGTTTTTTATTTTGATAAAACTTGATAAAAACGAACGAAGCGAACAAGAAATCTTAATTACTAGATATAGAAATAGTTTCGACTACTCGACGTACAGAAATTTAACATCCTTACTTGACTTTTCAGACCATGAGTAATTTCCCAATTTGCGACATGCGTGCCTAATCGTTACAATGGATGAAATTGTCAAGGGGCTCTACTATTCTTTCTCTCTTTGTGATATTTGATCAACAGAATGCGTCGAGAAATAGAGAGAAAGAGAGAAAGAGAGAGAAAAGAGATACACGCGCGCCCAACGGAGCAGCGCCGCATGCATCTCCCTCCCTCTATATATCCTCTCCACTTTAATCTTTCTTTTGTGACTCGGCTGTTTTAGCGTTTTTTAGTCCTCGATGAGCTGGACCCCGACCGCGAACGGAGAGAAAGAGAGAGAGAGAGAGAGAGAGAGAGGCCGGCAGTTCGCAAGGCTCGCTCGCAAAGAAGGAGCGGGCGAAAGAGAAACGGAGACAGACAGGGCATCGCTGCGGGCTTATTAGCAAGAAACCGGTGGAGAAAGACGAGGTCGCAAGGGGAGCTCGACAAGATCGGGGGTTGGGGCAAGCCACGGGCAAACGAAGCCGAGCATGCTCGTGGATAAAGATGGCTTCGCAATATCGTAATAAACGTGCCTCGTCTCTCTCTCTCTTTTCCCCTCCCGCCCATCCCCCCCTCCCTCCCCGCAACACTCCTCTCTTTTTCTCTTCGTTTATTTCGTATGGTCCTCATTAACGCACAGTCGCGTCGGAATCGTCGGGGAGGCCACCCTTGTTACGCATATTTATGCCGCGTTCCGATGCAAAATTCTCTCTCGATATATTCTTGTCTTTAACGCAATTAACAAAATTAATTGCGACGTATCCTCAAAGATTCAAAATTCGACTGTTTAATTTTAAAACCATTTACGATTATATAGGATCGATGTTTTTGGTTGCAGATTCCTCCAATGCAGGAGAAGTAAGATGCTATTGCAATCAACCAGAATGCGTACCTCAGGGATACATGTGCCGCGGTAGGGGTTGCTTTACAAAATTACCATCGAACGCAAACCCGTCACTTCCAAGAGCGGAGCATACTGCTCACAGCGGTTGCCTCGATGAAAATTTGAAAAATCGTCAGTGCCCCACAGGATTTCTCTGCTGCGATCAAGATCTCTGCAATCATGTGGACATCCCCGCGATGAGAAATAGACTCAACAAGACTCTACGAGGTTCGACGAACGTGCCTTTTCTTTCTTTTTTATTTCGCATCCTGTTACATTTTCCACTTGTTACTATCGTAATATGTATACATACATCTGATGTTTATCGGTGGTTAGGTATTTATAGAATGCTCCTTCACACAATTTTTCACAAAACCGAATTAAATTTCTCTTTTTACACAAATATCTCTTTTTTTCATAAAAATCTCTTTCGAAAAATTTATTTTTTCGAAAAATTTATACTTTCGAAAAATCTATTCGTGTTCATTAAACGTCGATTAATTTAATTTATTACTTATTGATAATATCATTGTAGTATTGATCGATGATCAACGACCGTACTTGGCTCCATTACATCCAAACAGTCGCGGAAATCAGGCGATTGACGGATGGTTCCCGACCGCGACGATCATCGTGGCTATCTGTGGATTCCTCGTTCTGCTAATGATCGCCAGCCTAGCAGTCAGATGGCTCCAGCCTATGCCGGCGCAAAACGTGAATAAATTCGTGCCTCATCGAACATCTAATAACGGGCCACCCTTACTTGGATCACCAAAAGTGCCTCTGGTTTAAGAAATTTCATGACAAAGTTTCCTAATAAGAGGGGTGTTCGAAGTAATAGTTTAATTAATATAGCTGTGGCTGTGCTAGTTTTGATATATGACTCGCAAAACCGAAGTTGTACCATACACATACAATTGCATAGCGAAATATATATCGAGTATGTTAACTGCGAATGATTAAGTACATAGACCGGATAAAATTTCTTATTCGAATTTAACTTCGTCTCAACTTCGTTGATTTCTTACAATATGCACACGTGAAATATAGCTTGTACGCAAGTTTGCGAGATTCTACAGAGTCATATACCAAATCCAGCCATAAACGGCTGTTTAGAAAGCTAGCGGGCCGTCGAAGGCTCCACTTGGCTGTGAATTCTACGAAGAAAGCAACTACTGTAAATTATATCTCATAATGATAATGTATTACTCGTTGCATTTCCTCGAACCGTCGACACGACACGCATGTCGATATCGCGAGATCAAAGAGTGAGAATGGGATCAAGATTTTTCGATCCTTTAAACATGACGTTACGATGACACAAAGTACATGATACGTTTTTGTGTCACTTTAGGATTGTAAATATAGAATATGTATTTTTTATCATCTTGAAAGATACATTAAATTTAATGATATTATCGAGTACAATGATGTGAAAACGTCTTTTAACGTTACAACCATTGAACTCTTTGTTCCCTAAAAATATTAGTACGTAATTTTAATTCACGAATAATATACGCCAATAAAAAGTGAAGAAAGATTATATATTTCGTAATAATCTATAAGAAAATTCAATAGAAAGTAAATTTGTGTAACCGAATCATAAAATTTTTCATTCAAGCCATTGCGACTTATTCAGTCACAGCCAATTTGTAAATTGTTTTTTCCTTTACATAATATTTAAGTGTATTTCATATAAACACTGTATTGTGATAGTACGATATAATAATGACTAAATATATAAATACGTACAGGCCTACCTAAACTTTATTTTATACATGTTACTTGTAAGGAATGAAAAAAAGTAAAGAGTATATTTTAAGTGTCTTTTCATTGTATCTTGTCTGTATTTATTTGTTGCTTTTCATCGATAATATACACATACCACATTGGTATCCGGTATATAGGAAGGATACGTCATTACTCTATAAAATTAGTTTTCATATGATTTACTCAGCTCAAAAAAACGATTTCGTGCTGCAGTGAAATTTGAATCATAAAACGCGCGTATAATATAAATGTTTTGGCATCACAGTTTAAAAACCATTCAATTCCATTATACATACATACACACATACATACATACATACATATATACATACATACATATGTGTGTGTATGTGTATATGTATAGGATTATACCATTCACAATAAGTTCACTTCTTTAAGATGCAATTTCTCATTCGTACCATACTTCGTTACTTCGTTACATGAGCCCCTGCTCGTTCGTCCTTTTTACTTTGTTTCAAAAGAAAGCGCCTTTATAAAAATACTGTTCAAGGTATTATATTGTATATTCTATTCCATATTTGTTTTCTAATCCTCGGTCCGAAAAAAATTTTCCTTTTCTTTAAGAAAAACGGTGCTTATTTTTTCAATTGAATGTCGAGCATTACATATCATCTATGTATGTACACTTAATGTAGGAATATTGAGATTTAGCTTAGTGATGTTCCTTTTTTGTTCAGTCATAACCCACACAATGGGTCTTTGCAATTAATATAACAATAATGTGAGTTTAAGAAAGTATCTCTCCAAACGATTTGACATAGGCCTCATGAAGTTTGTTGATAAAATCCGGATCGCTTTTCAACAAATAATTGAATGCTTGTAAAAGTTGATTCCTCGTTAGTGGCTCTAACGGTCGGTTTATAGATTCAGGTGGACTAGGAGCGGCAAACATAACAGGTGGTATTAATGCTGGTGCCGAACCTCTTCCTGACAATTTAGACGACGTCGGGATAATATCATCTGACGACTAAATTAGAATACAGAGAAAAAAAATAATGATTTTTGAATACATACATATACTTAATAAAAATAAAAAATAAAATTTTGTTTAATTTTCTTACCGTACTTACGGAAGCATGAGCGAATAATGACGCAAGTGGGTTGGCATTGTTGGAATTAATAATGTTCGAAACTTGATGATTTCTTACAGCAGAAGACGTTACGTTGGTTGGTGACTGTATCCTGAGGAATCCACTCGACACATTTGAATCATTAACGTTTTGAGTAACAGATAACGGCAAATCTTGAGAAATCGGCGCTGATGTAGATATTATCGACTCTTGTTGCAAAGTCGCTTTATTTCGTTTTTTAGACTTGTTCATGGATGGAATCGTTGTTGGTTGTGACTGATGAGATGGTTGTGGCGTCACAGATCTTTGTTGTTTCTCAATATGTTCTAAAGTATGCGCTGCCGGATGAGACATTAAACGCGCGAGTAAAGGTTTACTTTCGACTACAACTGTGCTTCCCGGAGTAGGTTGATCGCCTGCTTTGAAATGTCCAGTATTCACCTGGTCGACACAAGTAAATGATATAAGAGATAGAGAAATAATAATATACATCAAATACAGCAGCAAAGAGATAAAATACTAACCTTGGCTTTAGCAAAGAAATCCATTACACTTTGCGAAGTAACGTCAGGTCCTAACGGAGCAGTTAGAGGTCCAGAAATATTGTCGGTTATGGATGTAACTAATGGAGACTTTGATCCTATTATTGTGTTACCGCTATCGCCTTCACCACCTCCACCACTACCTCTGCTGGTGTTAAAATCCTCTTGTGCCTTGCTAAGCATGCTAAATATATCCACGTTGTTTATATTAGGGCCAGAGGTCTTTTTAGCTTTTAGTAGCGGTTTGTTAGTGGTTTTGCGATTTTCTTCACATTCTTTGAGAAGTTTATTCAACATGTTTGCGATGCGTACGCATTCTTCTTTTTCATAAAACCAAATACCATAAATGTTGCACCTAGAATTTCTATAGAGCAGAAACGGTTCCTGCAGTTGTAAATCTAAACCTGGAGCAACTGGTTCTACTAGATTGTTTGTATTCAATCTGTAACAAATGTGTACATATTTTTTAATAACATTTTTAGCATTATTAATATAAAATATAAGATAGAGGTGCAAAAGATACTGAACTTGGATAAAAATCATTTAAAAATTGTGGTATTCATAGTCAGTTCTTATACTCAAAACAAACTTAAGTTCCGGTATCACAAACTAATCAAAGGCCAGTATAATTGGTTCTTATTTTAAAATAGTGTTAAATAATGTCTTAAGATGCTAATACAGCTCTCTGATTGGTTTATGACATTTTAAGACTACTTAAGCCAACCTCAAGTATAAGAATCAACTACGAATAGCAACCAGAGGACCACATTAGCGTCTTAAGACAGTCTTGAAATAAGAACCGATGAATACCAGCCATAAATCTCTGGAGTAAACCACTGGCGATGCAAAATATAATAAACTGTTACACGTTATATTTTTTAGTTAATAAATGTAGGACATCTTGATATATACTACCTGTTCATTATGAGAATACTGTTGTATGGCTCGCCATTCCTCGAGTACAGAAACAGAGCACCTTCGATGTCGGTCTTTTCCCATTCATTTTCATCCGCTTTAAATGTATACAGAGCGACGTGGGTCGCAGTCTCCAAAATATCCTTGACGTAGGGGTCAACTCGTTTCAAAGCGGCCACGTTCATTCTTAGCTCGATCCGATCCGTCATGCTTACAATGTTGGTTACGACTATGATGATGATGTTAATGATGATGATTTAAATGTGCCGATACGTGAAATTCCACAATTACGAACAGCTTAGCGTTAGCGCAATGTTTTCTCTATTTTTTCTCCATCGGCTAATCAACAATGACACAAAGAGGGAAAAAGAGAGAAAGAGAGAGAGAGAGAGAGAGAGAAAGAGAGAGACGTATTTTCAAATAATCCAAGCAGCTGCTCTCACAATAAACGCCATACTAGTTTCTGCCGTTTCTGGACTGTCGTCATGAGATACTAGATAGCAGTCGCTTGCAGCATTTCGCAACAACACGATTAGTCCGGATTTTCAATAGGTGCTTTAAGCCTTAAGCCATAAGAAATGGACGAATCGTAGTCGATTATTCTCCTCGCATTCGTCTGGTAGCCAATGAACATGTTCATTAGGAGCTGTAAGCTTATTGGCTACCGCCGCGTCACATTTTGCCGCGCGGCAAGCGTTTCCGCGTCCAGGTGTGGAGCCATTACGTAATTGTGGATCAGGCTTTAGCTTGTAATGAAAAACGTATACTTTATACAAATTACAAATTATCGTTTCCGTCATGTTATTATTGTATCGTAGAAGACGCGTAATTTGTATAAACATTCCGACAATAATATCGTTGAAATAAACGTTGCAATAATATTTAACTTTTTAAATATGCATTATCAGCTGTATGATGGTGAAGAGGAATTTGAGCCAAGAGTTGTACCGAAACCTATAACCAAACACGATGTACGTTGCTTCTTCAAATTTTATTGTTATCTTGTTTATGTAATTTTTTTTACACATGATAAATATAATAAATATATTAGAGAAATAATTTAGACAATTTACAGTGCTTTGTAGTGCCGACTGTTCCAGAAGTATCTTTAATCTTTGAAAAACAAACAGTAAAAAATCCAAAGGATAGGCGTACTGATTCGTTATCAGCGATATCAGTGAGACCCAGACAAATTTCTGACAATACTGTGAAAGTTAGCAACTCTGCATCGCCAGTTTCACACAATTCTGGCTCTTACGCCACATGGAAGGAAAATAATTATTCTAAAGAGACCAATTCTATAGGTATGACACATGTTCCACCATTATACAAAAATGCTTGTAGCTATGATTATGCTGTACCATCAAATTTACAAAATGTTTCTATACAAAAGCGACAAGAGCAAACAAAAATTAATGATAAGCAAGAGACATTGCAAAATGCTAGTAAAAACGAAAGAATGTACGGGAAAAGTGTGAAATTTGCATGTTCTGACACAGGAGATTCCTATCTCGAAAATCATGCTGATTTATTACCTTCAGACAAGAGAGTTTCATTTTCTGATCCTTTACATAGAGCAACGTTGAATACACCTGATCGTACTGCGAGAACATCTAACAATACTATTCCAGATACATTAAAAAAGCCAGAATGTTTTCAGATTCCACATGCTGGATGTCAACAATTTCATGTACCTAACTACTCAAGTTACAATATAGACAATAATGAAACAGTAAAAACTTTATTGCAGCTTGTAAATAGTCAAAATCAACAGATAAAAAATTTACAACTCCAGATAGATAGATTAATGAGAATGCAGGAAGACAATTTCAGAAACAAATCGACATGCTTGTGTTCACAATCTCTTGCAAATCAAGTATTTAGATATCCAATAAATTGTTACGATCCAACTCTTGCTTCTTCTCTCATACAGTCTCAAAGTCAAAGTATGAAGAAGAACATAGCCTCGCAGAATATACCTGTTATAGAAAAGCAAGATCTAGAAAACTTTAGTGAAAATAATAAATTAGAAACAGTGTTGTTAGAACAACAATCAAAAAAGGCTTTTATGGAGCAAAAGGTTTCGATCGGTGTCATGACGAGTTTTGAGTTTACTGTACAAAATAATCCTTTTTCACTAGATTCTGAAGTATGTGAGAAAAAGGAAGCTCATAGAGATGATAACAATATTAATAGGATAAATACTGGAAGTATACATGATACAACAGACCCTGTTAATAGATATAAGAATAAGAATACATTTACATGTAAGAATGGACCAGCACAATTGGAGAACATAGTCGAAGATTCTGAAAGTTATCTGTCCTCTAGTCAACAGCAAAGTAGTAATTTCAACGCAAATTCTTCCATAAAAGAATCTTTGAAAATGCATCAACATCTTTCTACTGATTTAAATCAAGAGGAAACTTACAAAGGAGAAAGGTATATAGAGAAAGATAGCAATGTACATGGACAAATGTCAAATGCAAAGAAAACATCCAATACATCCATGAACGTAGGTTGCAGTCCTATCGGAAGTGCAGTTTGCAGTGAAGCGCTTGTCGAGCAAACAAATGATTACATTGCGATAGATGGGAAAAAATGTACCTATAAGACAAATATTAATCAACATTCTTTGAATAACGTTCATTTACCAGCAACAGATCACTATCACAATCATAGAAATAAAGATTATGCACGCAGTGCTAATGTCAGACAAATTAAAGATGTAGGTGATGATAGCATGATTCTAAGTGGAGGCGATCTTAAAATACTTGAAAGACCTCCACCAACTCCAGAACCAAGTATTCATGTTGAGATGCAGGAGTATATGAGTGACGATGAGAGTGACAAGTTAAGGCATACTTCAAAAATAGGTTGGACTTTTTACAACAATGTTTTGGGACAAGTTAATGAAATTTTACAAAATTCAGATGTTACGAGCGATCAACATTTGGATCAAGCTAAAACAGCATATAATGTTGAACAAGAAAATGATAGAGAAACTAGAACTGCATTGAATACTGTTAAAGCAGCCACTTTGGAACAACTTCGGAGACTTGGAATCAGTCTAACTGAAAGTAATGACCAAGGAGAGTCCAATGGTAACAAGACGTATGTAATCTCTACATTAATTTTTATTTAGATATATAGATAATTAAACTTGTGCATTTATATATAAATCTGAGAATTACTTTAAAGTAACATTTAAAATATAAATAATTTTAAATCAATGAAGCCTTAGTAGTCTAAAAGCATCCGGGTTTGACTCCCGGCCGAGGTAATATTTTACGCAATGAAAAAAAAATTAATTATATACAGATTTTAATAGGTCATTCAACATTATCAAGAGGAAGATCTCGTTTGCCTATATTTTCGATTGCACTCACATTGGTCGGTGACTAGTAACTTTTCACTGCTTTACCAATAAGGTTATATTATTTTTAAATTGGCCAATCATCGAGCAATGTGTGTAATCGTGCATATAGGCAATCGAAACCTTCCCTCGTGATATTATTGCGATAGTTAATTAGTGTTGCGTTTCAAGTCTAAAAAAATTTCGGCGTTCAATAAAAAATGTACATACGTAGTATATAAATTCGCACGCAATTATATAGAAGCACCCGTGATTCAGCTTAGACAGTTACGGCTTGTTCTCATCGGATTAAATCAATGAAAACCGATGAAGACATGCCGTAACGAATTTTGGGTACTTCTATATAATTGCGTATGATTTTATATACTATGTATGTACATTTGCAAATAGTTTTGCAAATTTAATAAATAATTTTGCAAGTTGCCAGCAAGATGAAAATAATGCCTAATATAAATACAGAGTGAACTACTTTACAATAAGTTCTATATCTATGTATATATAGGACATTATTGTTACTTTATGATGTATGAAAAAGATTTATAACTGTTATTGTTTTTTTTTTTTATTACTCACTGGCTCCATTGTTGTATATAATAATGACGATGATGATAATGATATTAAAGACTCATAATTGATTTTTTTCAAGGTTAGACTTTGATTCGTCTTTTTATCCTCGTTTGAATCATCAAGCAAATGTAACGCATGCTACTAGTGCTGTAAACGAAACAAATACAAGTATGCATATGAAGGCGCTAGCATTAAAGTATTTAAGTGACGAACAACTGACAGACATAGCATGGCATAAACAAGAATCATCTTCATTGAAACATCTTATGCTCAGCAATGTACAAGGGACAAATATGTCGTTAGCCACAATGCGTTATTTAGAAAGATATCAACTTCTCCCGGGAAAGAATAATATAGCAGAAAGTAAGTATTGAGTGATGAAACAAGATATGTGAAATAGTAACTTAAATATAATTCTACAACAAAGTTTGTGTGTAAAAATAATCAAATTATTTGCTATAAGTTTGTCTCGCGCGCTATTATTATCAGCGATGCCCAGGTAATATTAATTTATATTTATTTATTTTCCAGATACTGATCAAGCATGTGACAAAGTTTCATCTAAATGTGATTTTAAACCAGCGGCTACAAATAATAATCCTGCTCTACGCCGATTTCCTTTTGTACAAACATCTGGAACTACTTGTCCTAGTAGAATATTAGATCTTTCAGCTTTAAAGCGACAACCAAAATTATTATAAATTCTAAAAGTTATATACATATACATATTACAAAAAAATTAATATAAACAATTTTTTTCGTACACGCGGCATATTAAAAAAAATCTTAATAAAAACTGAGAAACTGAAACATAATTTAGCAGGGACTCGAACACTTTTTATCCAAAACTGAAATCCCACTTAGTATAGACTCGAATCATAAAATAAAGGTCTGGATTTTTTTCTTCTCACGGCGTAAATCGAACCGTGTAAACGTAGTAAGTGTGAATCCAGCAAATGAGTGTCAGGGGGCCTATTCTGTACACGCTTACCGACAACTGTCGGTGTCGTTAAGTAGCGATAACCAATGGCAACGATTGTTCTAGGAGAAAAGTGCAATTCTTATTGGCTATAGTTCTCGCGCGACAGTGTTTCATGCCTGGTTTATGCTTCAGGTCTTAATCCCAAGATCCTAAAATTCAACCAATAAAGCTGTCAGTTCTAACCGAAATTTGAACTCTATTGGCTGAATTTTAGGATTAAGTCCTTAAGACCGAAGCATAAACCAGGCATCAGCGCCTCTACAAATCGTGTCCGTCCTTCAAGGAATGAAAATGCAATATGGCTCAATATGGCTGATTCCAGCTGATTTTGCCTAAACTGTATCACTGCTTAAAACAGTTAAAACGCACATTACGCAAATAAGTAATCGTGAAGAAATGGGGAGATCCTGTTGCATTAAAGGATGTAAATCGGGTAAGATAATTCCGTCACATGGGATTCCAACAAATAAAGAACGTCGCAAGCAATGGCTAGATATTTTAAATCTGAATGTTACCGATGAAAGTATAAAACAGTTAAGAGTTTGTCACAAACACTTTCATGACAAGGATTATTCGTGCAGTCCAAAATATCGAAGATTAATAAACACTGCTGTTCCATGTATACAAATAGAATGCACAGAAGATCATGGGCAAGAAGTGTATACGCAATTGCATGAGCAGCAAGAAGTACTTGAACAACATGCAATAGAAAAATTATCGTAAAAGCAAAAAAATACTGAAGAAAAATTATTACAAGGGCAAGAAGAAATCTTGCAAAGGCAAGAGAACATGGAATTTCTGTATCACCAACAAGATAAAAAAATAAAAATTTTATCTCAAAAGCAAATGGAGATGGAGAAACAATTAACTGAAAATAATCAATGCTTTTCATCTGCAAGAAGAAGACCTAATCTTTTGGGAATAACACAACGAAGAACATTAAATTGACAATCCCAAATATTTTATTACAAATTAATTAAAATACAAAAAGATCAAAAACGTTTAAAGTCCATAATTCGAAAAATGAAAGAAAAACAGAAATCTAAATAATAAAAAAAGATTAAAAAGGGTAAGAAGATAAAGAATAATATTCACCTGCAAATATAAAAACAAAATACATTATTTATTAAAATAATTATGTTCTTTTGCAGATGCTTTATCTAGAAGAAACACAGGAATCATATAATATAATTATAGCATTTATCATAAATATACTACACGCACATACACACACACATACAATATTACACATCTACACAATAAATGTATAAACAAGTATAATATAATAAATAATTTGTAACAATACTAAAGCCCGATTTACAATTGCGTAAACGTAGTTGTAGTTGTAAGAATTGACTAATCACAGTTGAATACGAGGAGAATATTCGACTGTCATTGGTCAATTCTTATAACTACAACCACTTACAACTACGTTTACGCAATTGTAGATCGGGCTTAATGCAGCTTAATATTTTTTTCTTAATTACTTTTTTATAATTTGTGTAAGTAGTAAAAAAAAATAAAAATAAACATCAGTTAAAATCATTTATCATGCGAGCAGCAGCTATATTGTATTTTAATTCCTCGAAGATCGGACACGATTTGTAGAGTCGCTGAAACTAGGAGTTTCCGGCCCTGATGAGTGTATCCAGAAGCACGGTCGCTCACTGAGCTTTCAGTGAGTTTTTTATCTGACTGGCATATTCCATTAGATCTAAAAATATAAACCAAACAAGTACAAAAGCTCACTGAGCGTTCAGTGAGCGGTCGTGCTTCAAGATGCACCCAATGGGCGAGTTCAAGACGACAAAGCGGCTAGGTACGCTTGCCGAGTGATCGAATATGATTGGTTGGATCTATAAGTAATAACCAATTATGTTCATTTTGCTCGGTAAGCAGGTTAGCCGCTTTGTCAATCAGCATACCATATTTAAAAAGTATTTAAAAGTATTACGGTCAGTATAATCCAACCCTAAGCCCGGATCCTCATACAGACAACAGCGCTTTGACACCGGACGCTGATTGGTGAAACACGGGTTATGGGGGTAAATTTTACCCTCGCCACCGGTTTTTCACCAATCAGCGTTTGGTGTCAAAGCGCTGTTGGCCATATGAGGATCCGGGCTAAGTTAACCGGAGTTTGGTGAAAGTCGCCCTTACACTAGGTTTCGATATATACATATGTATACATATAATACCCCCTGGGTATATCGATCATGAAACTTTTTCCGTAGAATGGAAAGTGAAAAGTGAAAATTTTTATCATTGAAGTTAATGGAAAAATTTTTCACTTTTTACTTTTCATCCTAAGGAAAAAGTTTCATGATCAATATTCTGAACTATGTCCAGATTCCCACTCGAGTACCATCCAAATATCACTCTATCCTTGTTGATAACTGAACGTTAAATAAGGATGATATCCAGGGAGCACCTGGACTGGATGGGAATCTGAATACGCTCCTAGGGGGCATTACGTAAAAAGTGAAAATTTTTTGTATGAATGTATGTATATATATGAATATATAAAATAATATATGTAAAACATCATATATAAAAATTATATCGATAGATAATTATAGATTTCTACAAGGAATCGAGAAACAAAGTGAATCTAGGTAGCGCTTCTTCGGTTTCCACGTTTCCAGCGAGCCTTCTTACGCAAGCGGGATTCATGATATACATTTCACGCGTGTACTTTAATTGTTTTATCGAGAAAATGTGATTTGCACTTTGCAGTTTGCAATAGGACTTTGCAATGTGCATGTTAATGTCGTTTTGATTATACCAAGTAAGAAAGTTAAACGGTCAAAGGCTAGTCAGAATGACTGATCAAGATACAAACAACAATATCCTTTCGTTACGGGAGAATTTGGTAAATTATCGTTAATCATATTGGGTTATGTAAATTAAAAAATTGTAGGATAATCCATATTTAATTATTTTGTAAATCTCACTGATAGATTATGCATGTATCTACTATTTATTAGAAGAGACACTTAATGAGACATGCATGCACATTATGTATAAATCCATCATTTATTATAAAACTTGTAAAATATTTAAATTTCTAAAGGTGAAAACGGCAGTACAGTTTCTACAAAATCCTAAAGTATCATCGAGTCCATTAACCCAAAAGCAGGAATTTCTTAAAAGGAAAGGCCTCACGAATGAAGAGATTAAAACAGCTTTCAAATTAGCATCTGTTGACAATATAACTGATCGCAATGCTCTTCAGAATCAGAATCCACATACTGCTATACAAATACCACCTATTCATCCGTATCATCAAATAAATGTTCACCAACCAACACTTTTGTCGAAAATTAAAGAATTCTTTAATGCGACTGCATTAATTGGTGTCACAGTATACTGTGTATATTGGTTTTATAAGGTATTTTTTATAATTTAGAGAAAATTAAAAGATTTCCTTTTATGTAAAACATTGAAAAAATTCTAGCATAATGGTTTTAAATTTTTACGATAATTCAATCTTATTATATAAAATAAAAATTATATATATATATATATAATATAACAAAATTTCTAATTTTACAGAAATTTATAGAACCTTTTCTATTTGGTCGGAAAAAGAAAAAGTGCATAGAAGATACAGTAACCGAATTAGATAAAACTGTCCAAAATTCCATGAAAGAAGTGAAAGATTCTATCTTGAAGGTAGAAGGTGAAGTGCAAAAATTGACTGAGCATCAAGCACTGGACCCAACTATCCCACAATTGGTGCAAGAACTTAAACATGATTTATCTAGTCTAAAAGCATTACTTTTATCAAGGTATATACATACTTTCCTCTTTCTTTTTATATAAAGAATATATAATAAGCAATGCATATAGATTGTCAGTAATAGCAATTTATTGCCACACAATGAGATTATTTCATTTAGACATTATTTATCATTTTATTCTTGTATATATGATATTTGCTTATCTTAAGATCATTATTTTTACAAGAGATCAGACATCACAACCTCACACTCTCTCTCGTACATGTAATTTTATTTGAAATTGCTTAAGAAATTGATACCTGGATGTTCTGGTAACTTTCTTTTAAACAACAGTTCATTTTACAAAATATAATTTTAAAATATAAATTTGTGCTTTTTTCTTCATCTTATTTCTATTTTTGACCCTCTGCACTTTTAAAGTAATCTTTTATTGCAAACATCTCTCCGATTAGACTATGTATATCTATCTTTTTATATTATGAATTTAATGCACAAGAAAGCGTTAACTGTAACAGAAAATTGGTATGCATTGTTGTCTATAATTATATTTATTATTAATTTTCAATTTTATCTTAAAATAGAAAACAATTTCCTACTGCCCCTGCATCTATACCACCGTGGCAGTTGAGTGCATCAAATGTAAGCCAAGAAAAAGCAACTGAACGAGAAGACGATGCTGGAAGTGGAAGCAGTACTAACAATTCGGATAGTTCTTTGGAAATGATTCGAGAAGATCCACCTAAGGAATAAGTTTAGAAGTTTTGAGTTCATCAGAGAGAATTATACTTCCATAATGATAGTCTTCGATACACGTAATATATTCAGCATAATATTGAAGCAAAAGGATTATAATTTCAATGCTACATGATATATTACAGAGACGTTTGATATTTTTATACAGGATGTTGGAAAAGAAAAAGACTAATGTAAGATCTGAATCCATTTTTAGCATCTTGTACTTATACTAGTAGCGTTGATTTGTATTTCTGATAATATTCATCATTTGTCAATATTTTAATATTTATCAAACAATGTTCCATTACAAAGAAACAGCTTTTATCGATTGTGTCGTTTACCAGATTATCATAGCAAATCAATCGAATGAATGTATTTATTTAATGTATTTAATTACAGATCCCTTTGCAATTTTTAATAAAATGTTTCATTTTTGTATATGATCTAAATAAACTGTTAGTTTCTTTAAAAAATTACTCTAATACTTTTTATTATAGTATAAATATAAGACAGATGAAAAGTGAATATGTAAAAAAAAAAAAACTAGAAAATTCTTTACATGCTTTTTAAAAAAATTTTACAAGAGTAAAAGCCATACTTTTGAATTTTATAATTGTGTGAATAATATATCTAATAACATCCTTGCAAGAATTAGATTTAGTTATTATCTTATGTGGAGATGAATTATAGATATAAAGATGTAGCAATTCTCTGTACCATGAAATAAATTACTTAATATATGTAATATATATGTAAATGTTAATATATAAATCTAGAATTAAAAATATCGAAGACACAGTTACAATACAAGGTATCGTGTTTCAGAATCTTGTAATGTTGAAATTTTATGTCAAAAATGGAATTGTATCATATTACAAATTGAGAAATTAGTGTACTTCTATATGTAATATCTGTCTACATTGCAGACAGTGTTATACATATGTGTACAAATATAACTTTTGAATAAATAATTTAAAAAATTAATTTTACTTCCATTTTCCATAAAATACTGTATTGCCCATGACTCATATCTTGAGAAAACGATTTTATGTACAACAAAGAGAGCACACAAGTTCTATAATATATAATAGAAAAACGATAACTTTAATTATAATAAAAAACTTTTATTGAAGGATGATTGATATCGCTAATCTTGTACACATGGGCGTATTGTTCTTCTTTAATTTTTTATAATGTAAATTGAATAAATTGATTTTACATATTTATGTATAAATGCGTATGTGTATGTGGTGTGTTTGTGTATGTGCGCACGCACATACATTCAACATACATATATAGATATTAGATGAAGTCCATGTATTGTAACTTATTTATATCGGTCATTCATACAAAAATCAATCATACTTGAGTTGTGTCAACATACATACGAGTAATATGTACAAACTGTATAATGTTCGATATTAATATTGTATCACTAACAAGCAAACAAAGTACACGAATGCGTGTACATATGTGTGTATGTGTCGTGTATATAGCTTGCTATTATATATCACTTACAAAAAGAGTTTACATGTGATTTAATTTTCTCAGTTTTCATGAGCTTGAAATAAATAAATTATATACTCAACCATGTAAATGATGCAAATGTGTTTCCTAAATTAAAGAAAAATTTGTCTACTTTTACATATTATTTTGAGTATTTAGAATTATTATAATTTCGAAATACTCTGCTGAAGATTTTGATTTTAAAATACAAGGTGATAATCTTAAGATTATAAGTTGAGACTTTTCATCTTTTATATTCTTTTTTCTATATTTCTGAATATCAATAAGTAAAGAAAATTACACACATATATGTATATATATTTTACACAATTATACATCTGTATATATAATCTTATACAGAGAAAGACATAATCATATAGTACTGTTTGTATAATAAGATTTTTTATTATAATTATATATTTAAATATTTTATTACAAGTTAATATACAAATTTACATATAATAAAATAAAAAAGTGTAAGCAAAATGAGTATTATACAAAGAATATTTTTGCATATATAAACAATTGATTAATCATTTTAAAATTCTTGTAAGGAAAAATGTTTGAATCAATTTTGCCTCAGTCTTACAATCTCAAGGTTATTATTAAAAAACAAGAATTTATGATAATGACTAATGAATATTTGAACAACATTACAGCATCATATTATGAACATATTTATTTAAAAATGTATTTTCTCATTTATCTATTTATTAATTGCAACTGTTTTATGAAAACCAAGGTATTGATGATGAGTCACATATAACTCTTCATATAAGAGTATATACTAACGCAATCAAATCTCGTAGATCATACATATAATATTCCATATCGCGGAAGTTTTGACGCGAACAGATGTTCACTCTTTCCTGGTTTTACATTAATACTTTTTTTTATATTAGATATAACCAGGACAGCTGCCTCACTGATACAGTGAGTTACAGCGAAATCCATTTGACTTAGGTACATCTTTCTCCTCTCTCTCTCTCTCTCTCTCTCACACACACACATACAACACATACACACACACACACACTCTCTCTCACTCTCACTCTATACATCCTAGGTTAATAATATACAATAACAAAAGTACTTTATTTCAATGATTCATCTTCCATAATGTTGCTGCCAAAATATATAAATAAAAATTTTAAGTATACCTAAAATAAAAAATCCTGCTGGCTAGTGCGGTTCTATCTTATTTTCATACCTTGATCTTTGGCAAAGGCTTACAGAAAAAGTAAAAAAAAATTGCTTTATGATTTTGCACACATGGACTGTACAACGTAAAGAATTATCCTAGGATGCTTTGTGCTTAATTATACATTGGCTAAATACCATTCCCTTCGGTATTTACTCGCCGCTGTTCGTTCGAGTATAGAAAAAGAAAGACTGAAGAAGGGGGAGGGCTCTCATTATAGGGCAGCGACCTAATGTTGCTATTAATTAATAACAATAATAATCCTAGGCTAGACACACTAACTGAAACTACTAATAGTTTCAACTCTAGAATATCTAGTATATTATTTAATCTCGGCTATGCTACCAAGTATGATGTAAGTGTAAATTTCTTGAAAGAACTGATCGTACATCTTGTGTGAAACGAAGAGCGTCCAAGACTGGAAGTAAGCTTAACAAAGCAGTGTCTCCCGCATCGCTGAACCATGATTTTATGGGTATCGCGTTGTCTATGACATAAGAAAGAAGATACTACAATGATACATATAGTAATGCATTATTAATCCTGCTAATTTTATCCATCGCAAAATTATGTGCATTTCTTTTATAAAATAAGATAAAATCACAAAAGATACATTTCCATGTCGCAGTTAAGAAAATGAAATGCAGATTTGCTATTTTCTAAATAATATATGTATTATATATGTATATGCAGTAATGCATCTCTTTAAAAACAGAATTTAAAATTATTGTTATGTTTGTCCAGATAACATGAAGTATCATTAAATTTGTTCATTTCTATTACGGAAAGATAGGACGACACATCGATAACACAAATATTATAGTAAAAGATATCACACTCACTTTACAAATGTATTAAACATTTTAAAGGAAATAGAAATTGACTCTATAAAGTTTAAATATGAGAAAGGCATAGTAAAAGAAAAAGAAATCCCATTAAAGTGGTATAAATAAGTTATATATACTTACGTGGATAGGCTCTATAAGCTCCTGGGCTGTTATCAAGAATAAAGACTGAAGAGAGATCTGAACAGATTGCTGATAAATCCTTGGTGTAGGAACCCATTTCTGGCGTACAATGTTGTCTATAATATCTGCGCCTTAAAATACCTCTGTTATTATCTAATTTATCTGCAACTGCTGCCCCATATATTTCCATGGATGCAGTAAAAACTACTAGCTCGTACCTAATTGATATAGATAATAATATGAAATAATTAATGCAAGCTTGTATCGTGAAACATATTAAGAATAAAACCCAAGCGAAAAAAATTGTAAAATTTATTTGCCAACTTTGGAATGTTTTTTTAAACAGTAGTACTTACCACTGACTAACAATATCCAAGAAAAAATCTACGTGTGGTCTTTTATGGACGAAAAATCTAACAGGATGTCTGTCTATCGTCACTTTAAGAACAAAATCTGGAGGTGTACCAGGCCTGACAGTTGGCCTTGCTACTCCATCGTGATGAGAGTGAATTAAGGTTTCGTCTAAATCCAGTACTAATACTTTTCTCTTAACTATACCTGAAATATTCTTGCATTATACACAAATACTGAAAAACGTAAGATATAAGATAAAAATTTATGTATGCATAATTGAAATACTTACTAAGTCTGTGCCTAGATAAAGGTGAAAGTGGGAAGATCTCATATTTGACTGGTTGCAGCTGTGAGATCTACAACAAAATGATTAAAAAATATACTATTTGTACATTACATTTATAATATGTGAACAAAGATAAAAAAACTATTGATTGATAACAAGAGAGAGTCATAAGTAACATTCACAAGAAAATTAAAACAGAGATTAATATACTCATTACATGAAATAAAAGAAAATATTTTTATAATAAAAAACAGTGATTATATAATATCGCAATAAAGCAATTGCAGGAGAACTAAATAATAAAAATATAAATAGAATAAAGATTTGGAGCAATAGGTATATTATCTATCTCATTTTACGCAAATTAAATTAAAATACAATTATATACACATGTAATTATCAAATGGCGACATTAAGTAACTACTTACACCTCTAACTTGCATCTGGATAGAAAACAAACACGAGTCATAAAAAGATGAATATTTCTCAAGAGAGCAACTAGTGTTTATAATCCATTATTTCAAAATTATAATTAAAAAAATTTGAGACTCAACTAGAAGAAAAAAAACAAAATTGATTTTGACACAGAATACATTTTTCACACTATACAAAGCTATGTTAAATCTATAAGAAAAAAATTGAGAGAAATGTAGAAAAATTGTTAGCTTTGTGAAAAAATTTTTTAGATAATTTTTATAATATATCATTACATATAAATTGAATGTCACCGACGAAAAAGCGATTCGTATCAGCGAATTATCTTGTATCATTGAAAAATGTTACGTCAATGAATGTCAATTTATTATCCATATATCGCGATAAGACAAGAAAGAAGGGAGAAAACGATTCGTCAATTACCTAGATGGCTCATATAATATGACATGACTCGTGCCTGACTACGGTAGAAGGCGCGAACAGAGGCGCGAAGCACCTACTTACGGCTCTAACCTGCTTCTTGAGTAGAAAGCAGATGCAGGTCCACACACGGGAGGCCATTAAGAGGAAAGCTCTCATCCCCATCTGCAATTGCTTCAGCATCTCTACTGCTCTTCTCACCGGGCCGAAGTCCGGCAACACTTAATCTCCAGTGTCGGATGTGTCCGTAGCGGGTTTATGCTCCAATTTTTCTTCCCCACCGCTCACTGCAGGAGAGATGCGCTTGACTTGGACTCGCGAGTCGTCGTCGCGAGCCGCGACGCCGCGAGCAATCGCCAGCAATCGCGATACCTGCGGGGACCGCCGGTGTCTAGAATCGCGACGGCGACGACCGACGACAGCCGAAAACCATTTAGAGACAGAGCCTCTTCTCTCGTCGCCGCTTATCGTAAACAAATTTCGTCAACACTGCCGCGATCGCGTCGAGATCTGACGCGGGTAGGTGAGTGGGTCGTTCTTACAACGGCGCCTGTACGACCGGTCGCGTCTCGCGCGTGTTTACGCACCTTACCGCAGTTCTTTCATGTTTTCCACTAAATCCAAGTACGAGTCTTCTTTACACGCATCACGCAACGGCCGCCATCTTCCGCGCATCGACCCAATTTTTCCGTGCGCACTATTGCTGCTCTCGCGCGGCTCCGCGCCGTTTATCGTATATTTTCTCTGCTTTCGCGTGAGCATTTTCCTTCTCGATCCATTTTCGATCTCGAACCCTCGAAAGTGCAGCGAAGCTCCTTTACGAGAAACTTTGATAAATCATCACGAGTTGCGTCGACATTAGATAAAATATTCTTTCGACATTACATAAATTTCGCTTATCTATATCGCAACATCTATAATATAATATATATGTATACATATAATAATGTCCTTCACGCACATGCATACATTTTGGATAAGTTGTGTAGCTCTCTGTGATAAAAGCTCTTACGAAATTATATGTAAAAATCTCATAAAAATTAAATGAAAACATTTGAATGTATCATTCGCAAAGTTGACGCAACCTAAAAGAAATAAATGCCATATAATTTCTTTATGACACATATTACATAGGCAAATTGCAAATGAATTCGTTGGTTAGTAGACGTTTCTACCAAGACGGACCATTTTGCTAAAATTAGAGATTTGCAGGTACCAAGTCAAATCTGAATCGAGACGATTCTTTTATTTTCTTTTCATTCAATTCGATTCGAGTTCTCGAAAGTTAGCATATGGTCGAAAGAAATCGAGTTACACGACAATCGATTACTCCAACTCGAATCGGAACTTTAATTTGAAATTTGAATTTGAGGTATGTATTTACTTAGTTCGTAAGTTAGTTTTATAAGAACACGACGATAAATACGTTCTTTATACGTAAGCACATTCGTAATCATTTGAGTTTGGAATAAATCACCTTTAAACTTGAGACAAGAATACAAGATTCAGTGATTAACCTTTCACTGCTAAATAGGCATTTTCCTGCCTTATTTCCATTGTAAAAGGGACCTCCCTCTTACCGATTCCCGTCCGTCCTAATTTCACTGAGTCTATGTTCAGATTCCCACCCGACTCCTCTCCAAGTATTATGTTACCTTGTTTAACATTTGGCAAACTTTATAGCGTCAGACACGCACGGCAACGAGACACGTTAGCCCCCGCAGTGTAGTATAAAGATTTGACGTATATGCCATTTTGTTGTGCCATCAAAACAAGTATCAAACGCGCATAAGTGATAAATTGAAAAAATGTTCGCATAGTATTATTGTTTTGCTGCGTTCAATATGTCGAAATTTATGCCAAGTAAAGAGGATTCGCGGACATCATTAATTTTTTATTTTCATTTGAAGAAAACTGCTGCTGAATCATACCAATTACTTCGAGAAGCTTATGGTGAACATGCTCCATCGCAAGATACGTGCGAACGATGGTTTCGACGTTTCAAAAGTGGCGATTTCGATGTTGTAGACCAAGGAACACGAAAAACCGCCAAAAAAGGTACGAAGATGTAGAATTGCGAGCATTGTTGGACGAAGACGATTCACAAACACAAAAACAACTCGCAGAGCAATTGAGCGTTAGTCAACAAGCTGTTTCCAATCGCTTACGAGAGATGGGAAAGATTCAGAAGGTCGGCAGATGGATACCACATGAGTTGAACGAGAGGCAGATGGAGAGGCGCAAAAACATATGTGAAATTTTGCTCGAACGATACAAAAGAAAGTCGTTTTTGCATCGTACTGGGGATGAAAAGTGGATATATTTTGAGAATCCCGAGCGCAAAAAATCACGGGTAGACCTTAGGCGCACCATCCACATCGACCGCAAGACCGAATCGCTTTGGCAGGAAGGCCAGGAAGACGATGCTCTGTGTTTGGTACGTGGGACCAGAAGGGTGTGGTCTATTATGAGCTGTTAAAGCCTGGTGAAACGGCTGATACCAAACGCTACGAGGAACAATTGATCGATTTGAACCGTTCGCTACTCGAAAAACGACCAGAGTATCAAAAAAGGCAACACAAGATCATTTTTCTCCATGACAATGCTCCATATCACATACGGCAAAACCGGTTCGCGACATGTTGGAAGCAATCAGCTGGCAAGTGCTAGCCCATGCGGATTACTCACCGGACTTGGCTCCTTCCGATTACCACTTGTTTGCATCGATGGATCACGCACTTGCTGAGCAGCGCTTTGATTCGTACGAAGATGTAAAAGAATGGCTCGATGAATGGTTCGCGGCACAAGGGGAAGATTTTTACTGGCGTGGTATCCACAAATTACCCGAAAGATGGGAAAAATGTGTAACTAGCAATGGAGCATACTTTTGAATAAACCACTTTTTATCATTCTTCTGAATTTAACGTGTTTTTTTTTTTAAATCCGCGTTTACACCATACTTGTACACCTGGTATGTTCGCTTTTAAAAAGATGTTTTATTCATAACGATATGTGATATGAAATATATACATACACATTCATATTTACTAGAAACAAATTTATTAATTATATTTAAATTAATACACACATTTTCGCTTGCTAAATACAATATATGATCAATTATGTATGATAATTATCAAATAATATACAACAAAATGTACAAATTCCCTACGTATACTAATAAAGTACAATTCTTTATACAATTTCTTAAATTCGATCAATTATTTTGCTAATACATAGTACTAACGTTCTTCTACATATATCATCTTTGTACTTTACAACGAAATATACAGAGGAAAATTACAAATTTAATTACAAGGGACAGACTATCTAATTTTACTTAATTTTGTACAGCTAGGCTTATAATTATAATTTGGATACACATACACACACACGTGTATGCGTGTGCATGTATGTATATATACGTTCGTATATGTCATAGACTTATCGCAATATATTTTATCAGAACTCCAACTACGTAGATAAGATATATATCGGTTCTTTAGAAAGTATAATTTGTATACTATATGTGAGATAGAGCGCGTATTTAACAATAAATCTATGATATATACATTTATATATAATCCTATAAAACATTCTTATCGACATTAAGAAAAAAAAAACAAAATAATTTATCAAACTATTTGTAAATTACATAAAATATCTATGTACTAGCACAAATAATTAATCAATTTTAATGATCTTTAAAAAGTAAACAGTACAGAATTATAACACAACAATTCGATAATAAATGTCGCGTGAGAAGACATAATTCATTATAAACAATCTAAAAGGATGATTCTGTATTGTTCCATTATCACGTATTACATTTGTGTGTATCGGCTTTTTGATAACATAATATTATTGTCCTCGCAGCTATTAGGAAGCAGAGGTTATGAAAGAAATATATCTGGAGAATATATCTCAAGATTATATCGGCAGGCATGTGAATATCGCGGTAAAATATTAATCAGACATATCGAAAATGTTCTCTCTATGAAAAGAAAAATAACTACAAATTATATTTACGTACATATTTCCAGTACTGTTATAAAAAAGTTTTTTGTTTTCATAAATTCATCATATCTGTTCTTTTGCGATAGATAGAATTTATGTCTCTTCAAGAATGGAACAACATTACAAAATTTACGTCCTACTCTGTTTTTAAATGTATCATTATCTAACGTATCATAATAAGGCGTTTTCGATGTTTGGCTTTCTTTGCATATAGCAAAGAAGTGTTTTTTTTTTTTTTCCGAAACCTTTGTATATGACGGATCAGCTATCATGACTAGCTTGACGATCTCAAAGGCACCTGCTTCTCTGTCGCTAATTTTTTATCATTTGTGTATGCAACAGGATAAAAACGATAATATAAATTATAAAGTTACGAAGAAATTACAAATTTTCCATCACAAAACATAATGTAATTATGGATATTTCCATATAAAATTATTATTCTTATTAGAGAGTGACGTAAGAGAGCTATATGTAACATAAATATAAACTTTATATACATACAAATATATACTCAACATATATATTTTTTGTATAAAATCTATTAATTTCTCTTAATGTGTTTTTTCTCTTTTTTGAAGGAAAAGGTAGAAGTAAAAACTATAAATGGAGTTGCAGGTTCCTGCCAGATCTCACCAAGATGTTACTATGAATACGATCAATGTAATGCTACAAATGTTTTGAAGCATTCTTTGATTAGTCAATACATAAAATTCTTTTTCTTGTGATTGGTCAATCAAATATTTCTAAGCAATTAGTAAGACTTTGACTACACTTATGTGTATTAATCACTATACTGAATTTTTTATGCAAAAATGCACGCAGTTTGTGTGCGTCTGTGTTCGTCCACGGGCTATATCATATATGTATATATAGCTCTCAATTAAACGAACATTATTACAAGTTGCAGGCTAATCATGGTATATTCATAAATTGTACAAGCATGACTAATTCAAAATAATGTTGTCTCATGCAAAAAACATATCATTTAGCTTTATTTTGTACACATTTGTTTAAATAAATACATACGAGTAATTATCACATGAAGTTATCCTCGGCTTTGTGCCTTTTTTTATTTAATATAATTGGAAATCACGACTTATCTTTCATTTCCATGATACAGGATGATAATGTATACTTGTATTTTATACAAAATATTTTGAATATTACCTTCCTGAAATAAAGTAGAGCATCAATGGTGTCTCAAAGCTGCCGGAAAATAAGAATGTTCCATTTCCTCCGCTATAGTTTCTTATACAAGTTCTTCTCACATTATATATTGCCAGATATGTGACACTATAAGGATATTAAAAGCGTCTATTTTTTGCGCGCGCTTCTATCAGGACAATTCTGGAGATTGACTTCTTTAGCAAAATACGAAAAGTTAAGCCGATATTTTGCTCACGTATTATTTTGATGTTAATACGATACAGTTATTGTTTACCCAATTTATTGTAAAGACTTTGATTTCTAATGTATGTAAAATCGTGTATATGTATCATTCTTTTTTTATAGAAAGAACGCAGAGGCAACGTATCTATTAAATTATTGGAAATAGAGCTAGGCCTCTCTAGCACAAGATTCTTTCTACACCGATATAATGTCAATCAGACATCGCATCGTGTTGTAACGACGTGTTATTATACTGTTATGTCA